CCTTAAAAGCAAGTGTCTTTTTGCCAAACAAGTAGAGTGAAATTTTTTTATGCTTTAAATCTGTGAAAGTAAACCTGAACATAGTGAAAAAAATATTTAATTGATTTTAAGTAATATTAAATAAACATATTCTGTCTTATGAAATATTAAGAAGAATTTGGCTAATAACATCATTATGTTAGGTTAGGTTAGGTGAGGTGTCTAAGTTATAGTCAAAAAGTATAATTGTTGTTTTCTAGATCACTAGCAGTTGCCCTGTTTCAATCGATCTGTTAAAGATCACTGCTAGTGGCCCACATAGTTCCTCAGCCTTCATTCAGTATTTTCGTCACCTCTTTGCCCATTATATGCATTGTGTCTGGTACTTGTAGATGCACTTTGTCTTTGACTCTCTGGTAATATTTCTAATTTCACTGAGAATAACTCTGTAAAACTTTTGTTCAGCTCCTGACAGACTTCCAGATCATTTTTAGTGAGCTCCCACCTTTCCTCTGTCTTATTATGTGGTTTCCCACAGTTGTCTTCCTTCTGAATTGGCTCTGCATCAGCTTTGGTTTAGATTCTGCTTCTGATGATATGGCATTCTCAAACTGCTGCTCAGCCTCTCTTCTTATTCACATATAATCAATTTTGGCTCTTCTGTTGCATCCCAATTCTCTGGCATTCTTTGTTTTTTATATGCCTTCCATGTTCTTGGACTTTTAGCTTTTCCCTCCCTGCACCTTCGAGTGAACCATGAGTTCATCTTGTATTTGCTTGTGCTTCTGTTTCTGGGAATGAATTTTTCCTCTGCCTCCAGTTTTGTGGTGCAGTTATGAAAGAAACCGTCTGAAAGAAACATGTAATAGTCGTTGTCAACCTGTTAACGATCTAGAAGCAAAAGTAACGACTAACTACTCGAATTATGTGTTAGTACCTTATTAACAGTTGAAATAATCTATATATATATTTACGTTTAGGTACCGACTAGTATGGTTACATTTCTGTATGGTCATTAAGACCATAACGACAATTAGCCATTCGAAATATATGTTACTCAAATCCTTTACTCTGGTAGTTGTTGGAATTGTGTAATTGTTGAACTAATTCCTGCATTTTTACATAAATGTCCTGCACTGAGTTAGGTAGAACAAAATTAGACAGTATAATATACAGAAATGATAACGTTTACAGTTTATAGCTAAATGTTATTGATGGCCGAGACACTAGTGCAACACTTGGGTATCTTTACGCTGATACGTTTCACCAACTAGTGGCTGCTTCAGTCTAATACAGAGAAGAACGGAGAAAGATGAGGAGTTTGAGGTAACCAGTTCCTAAGCCTGGAGATGTATTCAGTCCATCTGTGTTGATAAAAAGTACTGCTTATCTACGGATAAGGGCTTATATAGAGATAAATGGTATAAAATTCCAGCTCGATGGAAAAGGAGATACAAATGCAGAATACTTTGATTTTTTATTGACGTTTCGCCCACTTAGTGGGCTTTATTAAGTCACAAAGAGATCTGTTGTTTAGTAGATTAAGCACAGTGTTCCTGTAGTCGTTAGTGTTCAAGATGATGACACCGCCATCTTTATCGGCAGTGGTGGCTCTTAAGGTTTTGAGGGCAGTGATATAACTTTTTGTGACGTAATAAAGCCCATCGTGTACGCGAAACGCTTTCAATAAAGGATCACATGATACTACATTTGTGTCTCCTTTTCCAAGGTAAGGCAATGCAGTGGGAGGCGGCGTCATCGGTGGTCTAAATCCTCTAATGTAAATCGGTCATGCAGACGTTGAAGACTTCTATGTATGAAGCTTCCATGATGTTGCTGTGTCAAACAAATATTATTAAATAAATGGTCTGGAAAACCTACAAGTTAAAGAATTACACACTTGTGCAACATTTGGGTGTCTTTACTGTGGAAACGTTTCGCCAGCCAGTGGCTTGATCAATCCAATACAGAGAAAAAGCGGTAGAAGATGAGAAAGGTTTGAGGCAGACAGTTCCTCAGCCAGGATATGATGACTCAGTCATATTCCTTAAAAATCAAAATAACTCTGAGCACTAACATCAGTATATACCAGAACTCTACGTTAATCACCCGACAAATTGGGATGAATTATTAATCTAATTATATTATTAGGTATCCCTGAAGGGAAACCTTTAAGTGGTTGTCAGATTTTTTCTTCCTCCTACTTTTCATTTTAATTTTCCTCATAAAATGAGAAAACTTCATCCAATGGGCTTCAAATTTTCAACACATGTAACTAGGCAGGAATTCAAGTACGAAGGTGTATATCTGCCAATTTTACGTGTAATCACGTTTTACGCTTAGTCACGTTAAATGTATTAGAGTCTACGTCTTCTGAAGAGCTTCAGCATCTAATGGCTGATGCATCTTATGGTCAGGATAGATCCCATTAAATTTAAGTTGTGTGCAGGTAAATTTCTTGGTGCACAAATATTTTTCATAAAACCTGGACGTGTTGGAATTCGTGTCATAACTGGAGAATGCCTCTGCCGATACACTTCAGATTTTCAGCACTGAATGGTTTTCCAACTATCGCACTGTTATTGGGCTCCATAAGTCTCAGTATGCTTATTTGATAAAAAACGTAGTTATATTGTTTTACAGTCAATAATTAAAGAATGCCTCATCTTATCGGCTTCAAACTGTATTGCATTTCTTAAGAAGGAAACTACCATATAAGCATCGACTGTTCAAATACACATTGTAAATTTTAATGAAAATGTTAAAATACTTTGAATCATCGGATTCAGAGCAATTACATACGTCAAGAAAAATTACTGAGGTCCGTGGGTCGATCTCCGGTACGTGTGGAAACATTAGGACGTATTTCGTTAAGACACCTGCTATCCATGTTCACCTATCAGTAAAATAGGTACCTGGGTGTTAGTCGCCTGTTGTGGGTCGAATCCGGGGGACAAAACTGACTTAATTTGCCTGAAATGCTCTGCATAACAAGGGGATTTCTGTATAGTAGTAAGTTACTGATATCAGCTAAGCCTGTATGCCTTATACATGTACTGGTATAAATAATAATAATTATTATTATTATTATTATTATTATTATTATTGCTATTAACTAATTATGGGACTATAAATTCAAATCTGAATTTATATATGCTCCAACATGTACCTTTAACTATATTATTGGTTGCGGAGAGTTTGGTCATTTTATGGAAGAAGATTTATTTTTTTTATGAATAATGAAATTGTTTTATCACTTACGAATTCTATATTTTCACTTTTTCAGAGTAAATGGTATTTTAAACTGTCAAGTTATAAGGCTATAATGTCTCGTGATTGAACGGCAGAGACAATACTTTGTGATTTATATAAAAACAAACTATTTTCACTACTTCTGTGTGAAGGTCGGATATCAGGACAAGCTGTGGGCACCTCATCGCTGTTGCACGACTTCAAATCTTTGAGCTAGTGATTTGCTTGAAGGTTTGATGCATACCATTTGCAGTCCCAGTGGTATGGAGAGAACCATAGGATAATACCATTTCCGTATGAAAGAGTGTCGGAATTTTCATGAAAAAAAATAAATCAAAAGTAATTTATCCAAATATTCCTTCTGCAATCAGACAAGTGAAACATTCAGAGGATCTCCCAGTTCCAGTACCACCATTCTGTAAAGATAATATTTCCCTTAATGAAGAAGCAATAAACTCAAATTCCGAGTTTGAAATGGCTGCAGTCAACATCTAGGAATCACAGTCAGAGAAACTTGGTTCCAGATTGCACCACTTTAATTTACTGCACCCACACAGAAAAATCAGTTTGTTAAGAAAGCGACAGAAAAGCTTATTGTTGTGTTTGAGTGCTTCAGGTAACCATCATTATCCTGCAATGTTGCGTTTCTTTATTGATTCCAACAGAACAAGTCTGAAGGAAATCTTACTTCACAATAATGACAGCCAACTAAGTCTACTTTAAGCTCTCGTTATAGACCTTACTGTCTCTTTCCAACAGCCCATTAGCCTTTGCAGTAAATCTGTCCTTACCTCCTTCAAAGCCGTATAGTGTCTAAAGTCAGTTTAAGTCGTAATAAACGACTGTAAATGAATAAATAGAGAGATGGACGAGAGGCTCGAAATGTGACTGGGGAAAGAAAGCTACAGTTGGTACCGCTGATGGAGACATGGACACAAAGCTTTTTTCCAGATTTTTCCTATAATAATGTTTCACAGCTCAGCGGTCAAGACCAAAACCTGCCACCACTAGAGCCCCGCTTCAAGCCACCGTCCATCTTACTGGTTTTTTTTTTTTCATTTGCAGTAGATTATTACGACTTAAACTGAGTTCATCAGTCCGGCTTTTCGTGTGGATTTCACTGTGACTATGAATTATACATCTTCTTTCAACGCACCGGCCGTATCCCACCGACGCAGGGAGACCCAAAAAGAAAAACCAAAGTTTTTTTTTAACTTTAGTAATGTATATAGGAGAAGGGGTTACTAGCCCCTTGCTCTCGGCATTTTAGACGCCTCATAAGACACGCATGGTTTTCGGAGGAAGAATTCTGTTCCAAGAAAATAGAAGAAAACCCAGAGGGGAGTGCATAAAAATGCTTGTACATGCATGTGTAGTGTGACCTAAGTGTAAGTAGAAGTAGCAAGAAATACCTGAAATTTTGCGTGTTTATGATACAGAAAAAAGACACCAGCAATCCTACCATCAAATGAAACAATTATAAGTTTCCGTTTTACACGCACTTGGCAGGACGGTAGTACCTCCCTGGGTGGTTACTGTCTACCAACCTACTACTTAGGGTGAATTATACAAAACTCATTTAAATTGCTGCTCTATTTTCTCCATGTAAGCGTTGATGTCAGTGACCATTTATTTTTTTACTGTTTTTCTGGATATTGAAAAAAGAATGTGTAAATCAAGGAGAGAAGGAGGACTGCCTCGTTTTTTTTTTATGATGAAAATATTGAATATTACTGAGAGGTGAATGATCATGGAACATCCTTACTCACCTATTAGGACCCAGACGGTGGGACCGAAGCCAACTGAGTAAGCTGTGATGAAGACTATGAGAGAGGTGAGTGGCAACCAACCCAGGGACTCCAGTGCCCACGCACTGTCTTTCTCCTTCATGTAGAAGAACACACCAAGGCTTACTGTCAAAATAATGGAAAAAGACACAGATAACTACAATTTACACACATGAGATTATTGGCAAAGTTACAAGCTGCTGGGAATGATGATTACTTTTAAGTTACATATAAACAAATGGGACTGGATACAGTATGTCAGCAGGAGCTGGACAGGCACTAAAAGTCAGTACCTGACCAGCCGGGCTGTGGTTCGTACGTGGGTTCGCGTGCGTCCAGCAGTAAGAGCCTAGTTGATCAGGCCCTGATCCATCTCGAGGCCTGGTCATTGATCGGGCCGTGAGGGCGTTGAACCCAGAAATCCTCTCCAGGTAAACATACCTAGAGATGGTTTCGGGGATCAACACCCCAGTGACCCGGTCTGTGACTTGGCCTCATGGTGGATCAGGCCTGATCAACCAGGCTGTTACTGTAATAATGTTGGTAGAATTACCGACAATATGTAAAGTAAAAGGACACAAGTGCAACTAATGTGACATTATACCGTGGCAACGTTTCGTTCTCCAGGAGCTTGACAAAGCTCCTGGAGAACGAAACGTTGCCACAGTAAAATGTCACATTAGTTGCACTTGTGTCCTTTTACTTTACAAGCTGTTACTGTTGGCCGCAAGCAACCTGACGTACGATCCACAGCAGGGCTGGTCTTGTACTAACTTTAGGTGCCTGTCCAGTGCCTTCTTGAAGACAGTCAGGGGTCTATTGGTAATCCTCCCTTATGTATACTGGGAAGCAGTAGAACAGTCTTGGGCCCCTGACACTTATTGTGCTGTCTCTTATCGTACTAATGGCACCTCTGCTTTTCATTGGGTGGATGTTGCATCGTCTGACGAGTTTTGCTTTCATAGGGGGTGATTGTCGTGTGCAAGTTTGGTACTAATCCCTCTACGATTTTCCAAGTGTATATAATCATGTATCTCTCCCGCCCGCATTCTAAGGAATACAGGTTAATAACTTAAAGCATTCCCCGTAATTGAGGTATTTTATCGCAGTTATGTGTGCCGTGAAAGCTCTATGTACACTTTCTAGGTCAGCAATTTCACCTCCCTTGAAAGGTGCTGTTAGTGTGCAGCAATATTCCAGCCTAGATAGAACTAGTGACCTGACGAGTGTCATCATGGGCTTGGCATCCCTAGTTTTGAAGGTTCTCATTATCCATCCTGTCATTTTTCTAGCAGATGCGATTGATACAATGTTATGGTCCTTGAAGGTGAGATCCTCCGACATGATCACTCCCAGGTATTTTACATTAGTTTTTCTCTCTATTGTGTGGCTGGAATTTCTTTTATACTCCGATATAGTTTTAATTTCCTCACGTTTTCCATATCGGAGTAATTGAAATTTCTCATCATTGAACATCTTATTGCTTTCTGCGGCCCATTTAAAGATTTGGTTGATGTCCGCCTGGAGTCTTGCAGTGTCTTCATTGGAGGACACTGTCATGCAAATTCGGGTGTCATCTGCAAAGGAAGACACGGTGCTGTGGCTTACTTCTCTATCTATGTCAGATATGAGGATGAGGAACAAGATGGGAGCGAGTACTGTGCCTTGTGGAACAGAGCTTTTCACAGTAGCCACCTCAGACTTTACTCTATTTACTACTACTCTTTCTGTTCTGTTTTCAGGGAAATTATAGATCCATCTACCAACTTTTCCTGTTATTCCTTTATCACGCATTTTGTGCACTATTACTCCATGGTCATAATTGTTAAAGGCTTTTGCAAAGTCTATGTATACTACATCTGTATTTTGTCTTAGAGCATCCAAGACCTTGTCATAGTGGTCCAGTACTTGAGACAGACAAGAGCGACCTGCTCTAAACCCATGTTGTATTGGGTTGTGTAATTGATGGGTACATAGATGGGTGGCGATCCTGCTTCTTAGATCCCTTTACGTTAGCGCTATCGGTCTGTAGTTCTTTATTGTTTTACTGCCCCTTTGTGGAGTGGGGCTATATCTTTTGCTTTTAGCAGCCATGGAACGACCCCTGTGTCCATGCTTCCTCTCCACAGGATGTTAAAAAGCACATGATAGGGGCTTCTTGCAGTTCTTGATGAACAAGGAGTTAAATGAGTCTGGGCCTGTCATTTATGGCCTTATCGAAGTCATTTGGCGTCATGGTAATATCACTTAGGTTTGAGTCTACCAAATTCTGCGTCTCTCTCATAAAAAAATCATTTAGGTCTTCGACTCTCAGCCTGTTCATATTGGGACTTGAGTAGCTCACTCATTTCCTTGCTGTCATTTTGTAGGACTTATCTCGTTTAAGCTGGGGCCCAATACTGGATGTTGCTTTCAACTTTGATTTGGCATAAGAAAAGAAATATTTTTTTGTTTTTTCATTTTCATTTATGGCTTTTAGTTCTTCCTGCATTTCTTGACTCCTGTAAGATTCCTTTAGCTATAGTTCAATGTTTGCTATTTCTCTGACCAGTGCCTCCCTGCGTAGTGCAGATATATTGGCCTCTTTTAGCCGCTCTGTTATTCTTTGCCTTCGTCTGTATAGGGAGCACCTTTCTATTTCTCCTCCTTTTCCTTAAAGGAATGTGTCTTTAGCATACCTCGAGTGCAACAGAGTTAATTTATTCTAGACATAGGTTTGGATCCGTGTTGCTTAAGCTATCTTCCCAGTTTATATCATTTAGAACTTGGTTTACATGGTCCCACATTATGTTTTTGTTATTGAAGTTGAATTTGGTGAAGTCTCCCTCGTGACTGATCACATTTTGTCGGTCTGGGGCCCCGTGCACACATGTCTGAACCTCTATTGTTTTGTGATCTAAGTATGTTGTTTTTGATAAGGTAATATTTCGTATAAGTTCATCATCGTTAGTGAAGATGAGGTATAGTGTATTCTCCAATCTAGTAGGTTCTATTATTTACTGGTGTAAGGTGAATTTGGTGCAGAGATTTAAAAGTTTGTGAGTTTTCATCTGAGCTGCCTCCTAGTGTTGTCTCTGCTTCAACATTATTTGCTACATTCCTCCATTGTAGGTGCCTTAGGTTGAAATCCCCCAGGAGAAAGATGTTAGGGGCAGGAGCTGGAAGATTTTCGAGGCAGTGATCAATTTTCACAAGCTGTTCCTGGAATTGTTGGGAAGTTGCATCTGGAGGCTTATATACAACCACAATGACCAGGTTTTGGTTCTCGATCTTTGCTGCCAAAACTTCAACTCCATCATTTGAGGCATTTAGTAGTTCCGAGCATATAAGCGACTGTGATATACAGGCCAGCCTCCCCCCCTTTTGCCTGTTCACTCTGTCGCATCTGTATAGGTTGTAACCCGGGATCCATTTTTCATTGTCAAAGTGATACTTTTTGTGGGTCTCTGTGAACACCGCGAACATTGTGTTTGACTCTGTAAGCAGTCCACGGATGAAAGGTATATTGTTGTTTTGTTGCTGGCTATAGACCCTGTATATTTGCAAAGATGATTGTCGTCGGATTGCTGGTATTGGTGGCATGGGGGAAGATGGGCCCTTTTTTCTGGCACTAATATCTGTTGTTTTGGAGTGGAGACCTTCGACTGCGATGCCACTCCAGAAATGATCGGAATTGGTGTCATTTCCTGTCATTTCCTGCCAGCTTTTTTCCCTTTCTGGCGCTAAAAAAAAACCTCTCTCAAGAGTGGTTGTGGTTACCCAGGTTTTCCCATGGTCTGGATGTTCTGTATCTTCTGGTCCCCTTTAGTTGGCGTGCCTGACGATGTCTTTCCTGAACTGAAGAGTGACACATATCAGGGTGGAAAAACTTACAGGAAGGAAGGTTGCTTTCTCCTGTTGTCATATGGGCACGGCATTTCCTGGGGGTGGTCAAAGTTGCACGTCCAATCTGTTTTTTCCAGATATTCCATGCCTGCAGGTACCTAATGCATAAAATTTGAATAGGCCTGGTTTCTGTTTGCTTTGACTTTTTTGTGACTTCATTCCCTACTGGTGTGTGTTTTCCTGTCTCATTACTGTCGTCAGCACTTTTACTAACAATGGTGCCTTCACCAGTTATTTCTGGTATTTTATCCCCTTGTTTACTCTCTCCCATGGTATTGCTAGTTTGTAACGTTGGTTTTGTGTGTCCTTCTCTACACTTGTTTCTCCATTAGAGTTCCTGTCTCCCTCCGGGCTACCGACTTTCATTTCTGTATTCTTACAGTTACTGTCTACCAGGACAGCATCTGCACCAGGGGCGACAGTACCATCTAGCCAAGTCCTTTTATGCTTCCATCTATTATAGAATTTATTTCAAAATTAGTATTCATTTTTCATTCATGGAAACTTTTAAGTTGAATTGTTTGAATATAAGTCATGTAGTATGCTAAGAAGTTACTGTTTGTTGATGCTTTGATTAAAACCAAGTAAAATGTTATAGTACTGATCGCAGCAAAGTGTAGTAGTCAGTGTTAGAACTAGAGAATTTTGAACTAAGTATGATAATATATCTTTATTTCTGTAAGTACATGTAGAAGGTATACAGGACTAGCAGACATCAATGGCATACTACTATATAGAAAGCCCTTTGTTATGTAGAGCATTTCAGGTAAATTAGGTCAATTTTTGTCCCAGGATGCGACCCACACCAGTCGACTAACACCCAGGTACCCATTTTACTGATGGATGAACATGTTTGCGCCCTTGACGGGAATCGAACCTGGACCTTCCTGGCATGAAGCGAGAGCTTTGCCAAACAGGCCACAAATAATTTTTTTGGTTTTATTAATGATAAAGATGATACCTGAGTATTGTTAAACGTAGGAAAGCATGAATTACCAGATGTATAAGACAATGAGGAAAGCATGTTTCGCTATAGAAAATTATAAAAATATAAAGTGTATAAAATGTTGAGGGGCCGCATTTGATGCACATAATTTAAAAAAAAAAAAGATGTCTGATTACTATTACTAATGCAGGAAAAAAAATCCCCCCCCCCCCCCAGTACCAACAATACCACTAGTCCGATAACATTCTTCTTTGCAAATATACAGGGTCTAAAGCCAGCAACAAACAACAAAATA